GCCCACGGGTTTGAGACCAGCCTGGGCAACTTGGCGAGACCTCATCTCTACAATAAATCAAAGAATTAAGCCGGGCGTGGTGGTGCGTGCCTGTAGTTCCAGCTACTTGGAAGGCTGAGCCGGAAGGATCGCCTGAGCCCAGCAGGTCAAGGCTGCGGTGCCCGTTAGCATGCCACTGCACTCCAGCCTAGGTGATAGAGTAAGACTCCAACTCAAAAAAAAAAAAAAAAAAGGGGGTTTAGCATAAATTTGATATTTGGCATTGGGCTCTTACACGTAGTTATTATATGTGAAGCCCAAGTCCCTAACTAGTAGACCTGAAAACACTGCATGCAGGAAGGTAAACAGTCATTTGTATTAAACCAAAAAGTAAAATTTATCTCTGGAAGCTGGCCAGAGAGCAAAAAGCAATATTAAGAGATCAGAGTTGTAAGTCTAATTAAGCTCATTAACAGGATAATGTGTCAAGCCTTGACCTCTAAAAATCGTGACCTCTAATTAAAATTGGACTGGCTTCTGGGCTGAGTTTGACGATTCAGAGGCTGAAAAGAGAAAACATTCAACAAGTGCTTTGTAGCTGAAAGAAGAGCAGTAACTTAGGGTTGGTGGTCATAATAGCACAGCTGACAAATAAGAGAAGCTTGATACATCAATGAATAAAAATAATAAGTCGATTTAACCAAATGTCAAGGGAATAGGGTTTTTGAATGAAATGTTTTGTAGACACCAACAGAATTGTGCAACCTTTGAAGCATTGTGTGGATGACTTGCAAATGAAATCAAATCCCGTGATGGAAATTTACTCAGTTTTGGAAAGAACCTATTTATAGACAGACATTTAATGTAGCATACAGGTAAGGCTAAGGAAACCATGGAGGGATTTGAGAAGATAAATTGGTAACCCAGGAAGTGTCAGCTTGTTCTGTTTTTTTTAGAACATTATAGACCAGGCATGATAGCTCATGCTTATAATCTCAGCATTTGGGAGGCCAAGGCGGAGGATTGCTTGAGCTCAGGAGTTAGTGACTAGCCTAGGCAAAATAACGAGCCCTTGTCCCTACAAAAAAATTTAAAAATTAGCTGGGTGTGGTGGCATGCTCCTGTAATCCAAACTACTTGGAGGCTGAGGTGGAAGGATCGCTTGAGCCTAGGTGGTTGAAGCTGCAGTGAATCTAGACCACAGAGAGAGACCCCCTACTAAAAAAAAAAAAAAAAATTCCAAACTATTGTCTTTATAAATAAAATTACTGAAACTTGAATATGTTCTCATTTGATCAGATTATTCAAACTTAGGATCTTAGGACAAATTCAACTCTTCTGTCTTGTCTCAGATTATTGATTATATATATATATATTTTAATACTGTAAAGGCATAGGTTTTCTCCATATAAATTTTATTTTTATTTTTATTTTTTTTCAGTTGGAGTCTCACTCTGTCGCCCAGACTGGAGTGCAGTGGCCGCTCCCAGCCACCGCAACCTCGACCTGCTGGGCTCCGGCGATCCTTCTGCCTCAGCCTTCCAAGTAGCTGGAACTACAGGCGCATGCTACCACGCCCGGCTAATTTTTGATTTATTGTAGAGATGAGGTCTCGCCAACTTGCCCAGGCGGGTCTCGAACCCGCGGGCTCAGGCAATCCACTCACCTCAGCCTCCCAAAGGCGTGGGATTACAGGCTGAGCCACCGAGCCTGGCTTCTCCATATAAATTTTAATGTGAGGATAAGGCTTTCAGAAACTAGACATTGATTGATCTACAATCAGAGATAGATATTAAAATTTTTACGTATGCCTCATTTAAAAAATAGGCTTACTTTTTCATTTATTACCCAGTCTTATCATTCATACTTTGTTGCTTTAGTTCTTTCAAAATTATTTTCATTTTGAAATCTGATTGAAGCCGGGATCGGTGGCTCAGCCTGTAATCCCGCGACTTTGGGAGGCTGGGGTGAGTAGATTGC